GTTTCAAGTAACATCCATATGTGGTTTGAAATCCTATTCACATATCAGGACATCAGCTTCAGTCTGAACGATCGGATTTTGGGTGGTATGAGACTCTCACGCCACGTAAAATGTAAACATCAGACGTTGTTAGAGGAAACATGCTGCAAGTCGCTGCCGAAACAATGCTGTGTTGTTGCAAAGTGCCGGACGGGCAGAAAATGATTATTTCTGAAACATATTTTGAAACCGCCGCAGACAAGAGCGCGGAAAAAAAGCTGTACATAACAGCCTCCTATCTGCTGCAGCTCAAGACGCAATATAGTCCAGCGCGGCGGCTACACATTTCCATGTTGTAAAATTTAAATAAGACAAACAACATCTCTATTGCAAATGCAAACCCCTCCATCAACACAACGTCATTGACATAATGCCAAAGAGCTGCATGGACACACAAATCGAATCTGAACAGTTGCAATATACAGTGTGGACATCATTTTAGATCAGATTCCAATCGGATACAAAGATAATCGGATTTGGACTGACAGTGTGAATGTAGCCATAGTTAACTACGTCAACATTTTAGCATAGTCAACACTTCATTTACACATGGTTCATAAGCTGATGCTGTGCCTCTCTCCACCACAAACGCCTTCTTTCATCAGTTTTTTTGCACTCTTCTCTTTAACTTTTGGCAGTCTATAGAACTCGAAATGTTTTTTCCCGATGCGACCGATTAGTACAGACCAAAACTCAACCATTTTTCAGCAGCAATAATCAGCCAAATTTGCGAGTCCGTTCAGTTCAGTTATGTTCAGTGCCTCCAAAATGGCCGACTTCCGGATTGATGACGCATCGTGAAAACCCTCTATGAGGAGATTAAAAAAAAAACACTGGATGGATTTCTATCATTATATGATGGTTGTGTACAGGCACTGCCAACACACATTTCAGTACAATCAACTTGTAAAAGTGCATGTATAGGCTATGACCCCTTTAAAGGATGCGGTTAAAAATATAGGCTATCAGAAATCTGTTTGCTTGAAATAGTTTGGCTGCTATTCATAAATGTTCAAATTATATTAGTGCCAGGTTTGACTATTTTGTAGTTTAGGTGAATGGGCAATTCGTATTTCTTTCTGCTGTGCTCGTAACATAGCCCCACATGACGTCACAACATACGGGCATTTGCCGACCCGGCGCCATTTCTGTGGCCATGTTTCGGGCAGAATATATGAGAATATTAGAAGAAGAAGCTGAAACGAGTTAATTTCGTGATAAAAAGTGAAAATGGTAATCTCCTGCTGGGTCAATAGATGTTCAAATCGTGTCGGAGGTTCAGTTAAATTTGGATTTTACAATATACCCATCTTTAGACTTCATGAATGTGAGAAGACTAAGCTTTTGTCAGAACAACGACGGAGGTTATGACTGGCGAGGATAACGTTAATAAACAAGTTAACACTTTGCAGTTTGAATGATGTCCTGTATTAACATAATGACGAGGTATTAAAAACAACAGTTTCCACTGTTCGATCGCGCGCGCGACTCTCACACACACACACACACACACACACACACACACATTACAGCATTGCAATCTCAGATTATGTCCCTAAATAACCCGCGTATGAAGTAGTTCCGCATTACATTAATTTATTTGCACGTGAGTTTTATTTATTTTTATACCGTGTATATTCATGGACTGAACCGTGACGCCCGTACAGTTTCGGTTCAATGCGAATACATGTACCGTTCCTCCAACCCTATTCTTCAGTGTACAAATAAGTACATGCATATTACAGAAAGCACCGATGACTGTTATAAGGGGAACAGGAATTAAGTTGTGAAGGCTATGGCTTTTTGCAGATAGTCTAGCATCATGCTACATACATTCGCTATGAGGACTACTTTTCCATTGATTGCACTTGAGCAAACGTCACCAACCCAATCCTCGACAAACTGATTGTACGCCTCCAGTGATTTCCAGGCTCAGAATTGCTCACATGTGTATAAAATACCAGATAATGGTAACGTTACACATGATAATACTGTATGAGGCAAAGCTACATAATCAGTGCTCGGTGCTTCTGCTTCCTCCACACCATTTATGACTGAAATTTTCGCATTGTACCTCTCTCTGTCTTGCGTTAATAGAGTCTCTTTATGATCTCTGCCACTTTGTCTCTTCATGATTTTCGTAACATTATAAATCGAAAGAAATATTCGAAATTTGCTTGTAAAACGTTGTAAACAGAGCAGCTTATGCCCTCAAAGATGGCGTCTCCGGGGAGGTCACGTGACATGAATTGGCCAAGGGGGTAATCCCAGGGGGGTAATCCACCAGCCGGAAACTGAAGTCTCCCCGGGCGCCGCCATTGGCTAACAAGCCTTCACCTGCTGTTAGCATTCCATTGACTCCCATTCATTTTTGCGTCACTTTGACAGCGAATAACTTTACATCTGAGGCGTTTAAAGAATCCATTTGTCCATTATAAACACGACGATGTATAAAAGGCTCCATTACCTTGTATCTTACGTTATGGCCCCGTAGAAGCCGTTTTTGTAAAAATAGGCTAACGATTGCGTCATAACACGCGACTCTCTGTCGCACAGAAGAGAAATTACCGTTTAGACCAGTGGTTCTCAACCTCTCCTGCAGGGACCCCCTGACAGGCCATGTTTTTGTTTTAACTCTGAAATGGCACACCTGATTCAAGTAATTAAAGGCTTAATGAGTAATTAGAGTAGGAATAGTTCAATTAATCAATTAGTCAACTACTCATTAAGCCTTTAATGACTTGAATCAGGTGTGCCATTTCAGGGTTAAAACAGAAACATGGCCTGTCAGGGGGTCCCTGCAGGAGAGGTTGAGAAACACTGGTTTAGACAGAAGTAGAAGCTCGCGCGCAATCGGGGGACCTGGAGGCATAAAATCAAGGGAGGAGCCCATAGAGTGTCATAAAGTTGCTCCTGCTGCTAGCTCATGGACAGCTTATACTCACGAACTCCGGCTCTGCAAGATTCGGAAGGGAATGATTCAGATTCCTCTTGGCACTGCTACTAGAAGACGTACAAGTTGCTCACGTCACATCTACGTCGTCAAGCTCAGTTTGAGCCTGCGCAGTGCGCTTGGCAATCAGGAAGTGAGTGCTTCTAATTGACTTCACTTTTCTCCGTTGAAGTCTATGGGGTCGCTATGTCCATTTCTTTTACTGTCTATGGAATTGGCCTGTGGGAACTATGTATTATCTACAGAGGCGGACAGAGTACAGAGCTTTGTTACTTGAGTAAAAGTACAGATACCCCTTGCTAAATTTTACTCAAGTACAAGTAAAAGTACTACATTCAGATGTCTACTTAAGTAAAAGTACTAAAGTACTTGTTTTTAAAAGTACTTGAGTATCAAGAGTACAAGAGTAAATTTTCTAAATATTGCATTACTAATCTACTGCCACAGTGTTTACATTTATGCACAGAAACGTCCTACATGGAGTTATGAAAAATGTTAATGTTAATACCTTGGAGAATGTAAAAGGAATTGAAAGTAAAATCAAGTCATTTTCATCTTTTTACCATGTTGCTTTATTTAATTTAATTAAAAATTTGGGGGGTCCCATCTTTAAATGCGGGGACAACACACACACACCACATGTAAGGGTGGCGCTGCCAATAAAGCACCTAAAAGCTGTCACAAAGAACCGGCAAAAGGAATGATTATGAATATGTAAAATATAGCAAGGAGATATTTTAATTGTTTATTAATAAACACTTGTTAATAAACTAGTGTTTTCTTTGTCAGTGTCGGCTAGATGAAGTTGACGATGCTGACTCGCGATCTTCAGTAGTGAACGCGCCAGAGAGAAATGCACATTTCATACGGATTACATAAGCAGAGAACAGTCTGTAGTCTGTTTTCTTTTGTTTTGAATTTTTCTGTTTAAAAGTAGACATGTCTGTGAGAGGCAAGTAGGCTACTATACACTGAGTTTCGGTTCATTTATGAGACGAGATCCAGTTCACGTGCCGGCGCCTCCATTTCTTATCTATCGTCTGCTATTTACTTCTTATTTATTAAACCCAGGCAATTGGTTTATGAAACATTGATTAAAATTAAGATACAATTAATGCAAAACGAAATTCAGGTTAAAGAAAGGTTTTGTGTTTTCTGTTTGATGTCTCTGTGAAAGTTTTAAAGCATTTTTTATGCCGCTTTCAGAACGCTCACGTCCGTAACGGAGAACACGTCCATAACATAGTTTTTTCCTCATAAATGCAAACCCGAAAAATAAAATAAAACAAAACAAACAAACAAAATTAATATTTTATGTACTGTGGAGACTGAGCGCCAACCCTTCTTGATTCGCTGGGTAGTAGCCTACTTTGGTTTGCGCAGTGTAATTCACACAATCAGTAAAATATTTTGCCTCCTGAAGTTTTTTTTTTAAGAAATCAGAAATCCCTCGTGGGTACGCCACTGCCACATTTGAACCTGACTGTGTTAAACACACCACATACTCAAGAACATCAAACCAAATGCTTGGCTTACATTAATGTGTAATATAAAATCTGACCATGGAGTTAACTTTGGCGGAAAGCTGAAGGTGATTGCTGATAGGCTGTCCCAATCAGTGGCGCCTGCACAATCAAATCACGTTTGAGAGGGAAACAAAAAAATTGAGGGTTTCCGAGATTTTTTTTTTTTTTTTTACTTTTTTTTTTTTTTACTCGGGTACTCACGTTTATGGATAGAAATGTATTGGAGTAAAGAGTACAATATTTGCCTCTCAAATGTACTTGAGTAAAGTCATGAGTACTCCCCAAAAATGATACTCGAGTAAAGTACAGATCCTTCAAAATTGTACTTAAGTACTGTACTCAAGTAAATGTACTCCGTTACTGTCCGGCTCTGATTATCTATTAAAATCTATAAATCAAAAGGGTTCAAATTTTTCTCCCGGACTGAGGGTGGCGCTGTTGTGCTCAGACCGCATGGCCGTCACACTGACACACACTCACAACAAGAACAAGAGGTGCTCATATCTTACTGAAGAAGATGTGACCGCTGTCACTACAGAGGTAATAATGATCAGTCTAATTTACTGTATGAGCACGTTTCAGATGTGATATTACTGCGACTAATACATGCAAGCCGTATTAGACCGTGGAATTGTTTTCTTTATTTCAATGTCACGACTTCTGTTTCGTAACAGAACACACCCTCATGTTCTGTTGAGATTGACTTGTTTGTGTTTGATTAAAGTGTAATGATCACACTTATATGATTATAATCACACAATAATTATAATAATAAAAAAAAGCATTTCTTACCTTTTTCATTCCTTTACTAGGCTATATAGAGTTCTCTCTCTCTCTCTCTCTCTCTCTCTCTCTCTCTCTCTCTCTCTCTCTCTCTCTCTCTCTCTCTCACATTTAGTTACATTATTTTTTAATGTTTATAAAATAAGTTTTATGCTCACCAATGATGCATTTATTTTAATTAAAAAAACAGTAATATTTTGAAAAATTATTGTGATGTAAAATAACTGTTTTCTAATTTAAACTATTTTTTAAAATGTAAATTATTCCTGTGATGGCAAAGCTGAATTTTCAGCATCATTACTCCAGTCTTCAGTGTCACATGATCCTTCAGGAATCATTCTAATATGATGATTTTGGTTCTCAAGAGAAATGATTTTTATTGTTATTATTATCAATGTTGAAAACAGTTGCTTCATATTTTTGTGGATACTGATACACAACAAAACAAAACAATATTTTATTAGGGACACATTAAATTGATCACTCAAGTGACAGTAAAGACATTTATAATGCTACAAATCTCTAAATCTCTATTTATACCAAATTTATATCTAAATTTATACCAAACATTTGAAGGAATGTATGTATTGGTTGGTATGCACAAAGGAAAATATTTGCATATGAAAATGCTCTCTTATACTGCAAATATTTTTCATGTTGGACATTTCAAGTATGCTATTCTCATTTTAGAATACATTTCATTGAACAAAAGACCCTTAGTACAAGTTGAGTCATTGATATTCTCTACTGTTTCCCTAGAAGCCAATGACTCTAAATGATTTATGCGAATATCTTCTAAAAGTTTATTTTATCAAGTTTTTTTTTCAACTAGGAGTACACAAGCACATAGATTGCATAAAAAACCTCACTAAATTTTAAAAGGTTTCTTTAAAGGCCGCCTGAAAAGAGCCTAAACAGAACATGAGGGTTAATAGTTTCGTCTCTTTCAAATTCAAAAAAAAATATTGGGACTATTTCTTCTAAATCTCAAGAAAAATATGTCTTGATCTCATTATAAAGGAACCATTTAACTGTGTAACGTTTTCTGTTTGCATATCTAACAATGGTTGTTGTGTAACTTCCCAGTTTTCTCCAAAGTTAATATCTAGTTATCATAAGTAAATTATCTTATAGAGGTGTAGTTATAAAAACCCTTTTCTCTTTTGTAATATTAGCATTTTGCGGGTGTTACCAGATAGAAAGCTAGTTAATATCAGCTGGCAATAATTAAATGAGTACCAGGGCATGTGTATCAAGTGCATCTTTAAAATAACATCCTATGGGTAGATGGTTCATAGTGTCTGAATTAAATTCTCATTCTGTTCATTAAACTCCAACGATTGTGCATATGATATCAGCTTTGCATAAGTAAATAGGAATGAGGAAGTGTTTTATTAAAAGAGTTTGAGACTTTCTGAAATGTTTTTCCAATTATTTCAGGAATGTCACTTGTTTGCAATGCACACAATTACCCAACGGTCCCATCCACAGACCTGTAGATTGTGCAAACATGTTGCGATTAGTCACGACATCACTGTCTCTCTACTGCCAGCGGGCTCAAGTAACAACTTTACTCCTCACAAGGCCCAACTCCTCGATCGTTCATGAAGAGAACCTGGTTACCGTAGACGCCTTGTACGACTTGTCCGTAGACATCAGTAAAATCCGGAAGGTGAAGGGTTGGGTGTTGCGGCAGAGCCCCGTATACGTGAGCGAGACTGCCGCCCTGCTAAGGGACATGGGGGCTAGCGGGCCTGTCATCGCTCGTGTTTTGGAGCTCCATCCTGAGGCCATCCTCTGCAAACCTGAGCAAATGGAGGCGCAGAAAAAGCTGTGGATGTCTGTGTGCGCCAGCCAGAAAGATCTGGTAGGAATCATTGAAAAATTCCCTGCCTCGTTTTTCTCCTCGTCCTCTGATCACGACAACCAGAAGGCCAACATTGTGTATTTCCAAACGCTGCATCTTAACAAGCGCATCATTAGCAAGCTCATGGCCAGCGCCCCTCAAAGCTTCAGCCGCCCTATGAAGCAAAACGCGGAGATGATCCAGACCCTGCAGAAGACCTATTTGGACTTGGGTGGGAAGGAGGACAATCTGAAGATCTGGTTGCAGAAGCTGCTTACTCAGAATCCCTACGTGCTTCTTAAGCCCCCCGAGGTCCTGCGCGAAAACTTGACGTTCTTGCGCGACAGGGGCTTCACCAGCAATGAGCTCTTGCGGCTGCTTTCCAAACTGAGAGGTTTCGTTACTGAGCTGAATCCTGAAAGCATGAGACTCACCCTCAGCTACTCACAGGAGACCCTGGAATGCACAGAAGTAGAGTTTAAGGAGGTCGTACTTCAGTGTCCAGCCTTGTTATACTATTCTGTGCCTATACTAGCTGATCGCTTCAATGGACTCCTCACCGCTGGAGTAAGTATGGAGCAGATCATGGAGACTCCCACAGTGATAGAACTGACAACGCAGATAGTTCAATATCGCATTCAAAAACTGCGCTCTTTTGGTTATGATGTACGTACTGGCAGCCTGGAAGTCCTCAACGGCACCAAAAAGGACTTCGAGATGAGCTATGGGAAGCTGCGTCTTAGGCGAGAGAGGCCACTGTTTAATCCAGTAGCTCCACTGCAGTCCAGTTCTCCACTGCGAACGGAAGATTAAATATTGGAGCCCGTTTCCACCACAGAATAAAAAAATTAAAAAGGTAATTGTGACGTTTTATCTCAATTCTGACCTCAAGGTTTTAACACAGTTCTGACTTTTTCTTGCAATTCTGAGTTTATTTCTCAATTATGTTAATATCCCTCAATTCTGACTTTTTTGCTCGGAATTGCGACAAATAAAGTCAGAATTGTGTTTAAAAACTTGCAAATCTGAAAAGTCCTAATTGCACGTTTTTAACACACAATTCTGACTTTATTTGCGGCAATTCCAAGCATTCAGAATTGTGACATATAAACTTGGAGTTGCATAGAATTGTGTGCAAGTTTTTAACACAAAATTCTGACTTCATTTCTTGCAATTACAAGTTTATATTTTAAGCTAACATCTGGCAAGCCTGACTTATTTTTCCTCAGAATTACAAGTTTATATCTCGAATCTCAGACTTTCTTCTTCAGAATTGCACGTTTTTTACATACAATTCTGGCTTTGTCTCACAATTCCGAGTTTATAGAGAAAAAAGTCGCAATGACCTTTTAAAGTTTCTATTTCATGGAAGAAACAGGCTTCCGACTATGATTAAGATTGTAAGTGCTAAATCTTTCCTTTGTTTTCTGTATAATACATTTATTTATATGAAAAGGATAAATGATTGAAGGTTCTGTTTATGTTGTGGAAGTGATACTTTCCAAATTAATGTTAACCCATATTGTGCTCAAAGAAAATGTAATTTCACGACTTTACTACATTGTAAATGTACATTTTTGCCATTGTGGCACTAAGTCATTAGTTGTATTGTCATATACAGACATGTTGTGCCAAGAAATGTATGTCGCTTTTGAAATTCCTCATCAGAGTCTCTCATAATGAACAATATAAAATACCTCTCGGAGGTATGCGTTGTGCAGATAAATATTCAGATCAATGAATGTTTACCCGTATGCTGCCAAATCTCAGTTGCAAGCATTTCCCAATATTTTGGCCTCTGGGCTGCATTTTGAGATAATTTTGTGCTTTTTAATGATTAGACTAAAGACTTTACTGGAATCTATAATGAAGTTACATTACATATTGCCTTGCGGCATCTGCTGTTTACACGGTGGACTTTATGATTTCTTTAATGGTGAGCTATTAAATTTCTCACAAGCTTCTCATAGCCTCTGTGAAATCAAAATAAGTTTTTGAGCTTGATTAGAGCTGATATTAAAATTAATTTATGCATGACATTTTTGGGCAGGTTTCATGCATTTTTATTATCGCTGTTCTGATGTTTTTCACATTTCCAGATTTTCTGTCTCTCTCTTTTGTTCTCCATTCTTTGTCCACTCCTAGTGTACGGCCCGACCGGATGGCTGCTTTATCCTGCAAATGACACTTTGAGTTATACCCGAACACATAGGAGGTTAATAAGCGAGGGTATAAATAGCTCTTTTTCATTTGAAATGTGACAGTGGGTATTATTAGCAAATGTTACACATTGATTTTATGGGGCATAACTCAGAGAAATTATGAAAATAGATGACACATGCAATTAAAGTCTGTAATTTCCTGCCCTGGACTTTGCATGCTGGAATATTAAGGTGGTAAATATTCCATGCTGAGGTCATGCTGAAGCGTGCCACTGTCCTCTGTGTAATCTGCTCTCAGATCTCCTAATCAGAGGGGTGTCCAGAAAAATGTGCTTCATGTAATCATGAGATCATTTTTACAGATGTCAATGTGAACATTGTGGATATAAAAATTGATTTATAAATATCTATTGTTATCCTAAATTGGTATGACATTGTAGCCATTTTGGATTTATTTAAGCTCCATTCACCCTATATTTAGGGTGAGAACATTTTTACTCCAATATAAAGTGTCAATTTACCATTAAAATGAAAAATAAATAATAATAAAATACAGTGGGGTCCACAAATTATTACATTTACATACATGCATGCATACAGAGATTTACTATTTATATGTATGTGTTTGAGTAAAATAACATTTTTATTATAAATTCTAAAAACTACTGACAACTTTTCTTCCAAATTTCAAATATTGTCATTTAGAGCATTTCTTTGCAGAAAATGACAAATGGTCAAAATAACAAAAAGGATGCCATGTTTTCAGACCTCAAATAATGCAAAGAAAACAATATTAATTTTAAACAACACAATACTAATGTTTTAACTTAGGACGAGTTCAGAAATCAATATTTGGCGGAATAACCCTGATTTCCAATCACAGCTTTCACGAGTCTTGGCATGCTTCTCTACACTGTAAAATATTATTTTCATGATTTATCACAACTTTTTTTCTTTCGTCAAAAAAAAATGTATTTCAATGAACTCAAAATTTTAAGGCAACCAGGTAACTTACTTTTTAAAGGTAAACCAACTATATATATATATATATATATACACTCTCCTAAAGGATTTGACCCCCTTTCGCCTTCAGAACTGCCTTAATTCTACGTGGCATTGATTCAACAAGGTGCTGAAAGCATTCTTTAGAAATGTTGGCCCATATTGATAGGATAGCATCTTGCAGTTGATGGAGATTTGTGGGATGCACATCCAGGGCACGAAGCTCCCGTTCCACCACATCCCAAAGATGCTCTATTGGGTTGAGATCTGGTGACTGCGGGGGCCATTTTAGTACAGTGAACTCATTGTCATGTTCAAGAAACCAATTTGAAATGATTCGAGCTTTGTGACATGGTGCATTATCCTGCTGGAAGTAGCCATCAGAGGATGGGTACATGGTGGCCTTAAAGGGATGGACATGGTCAGAAACAATGCTCAGGCAGGCCGTGGCATTTAAACGATGCCCAATTGGCACTAAGGGGCCTAAAGTGTGCCAAGAAATCATCCCCCACACCATTACACCACCACCACCAGCCTGCACAGTGGTAACAAGGCATGATGGATCCATGTTATGACATTCAGTTTGGAGTTCAGGAGATTGTCTTGACCAGGACCACACCCCTAAATGCATTGAAGCAACTGCCATGTGATTGGTTGATTAGATAATTGCATTAATGAGAAATTGAACAGGTGTTCCTAATAATCCTTTAGGTGAGTGTGTGTATATATATAATATATATATCTATATATATATATTACAGTCTACCAGCCTTCATGTTGCTGTTGGGTGACTTTATGCCACTCCTAATGCAACAATTCAAGCAGCTTGGCTTTGTTTGATGGCTTGTGACCTTCCATCTTCCTCATGATCGCATGATAATGTTCCCACAGAACAATGCTCCATGCCACACACAGCCAGGCCTATAAAGGTATGGATGGAGGACCACCAGATCAAGACCCTGTCATGCCAAATCTCCAGACCTCAACCCCACTGAAAAACCTTTTTTGTTCCTTGCTGCCGGCTCCATCTAGTGGGGAAAGTTGTTCTCTGCCAATATACTCTGGACATATATTTATTCCAATATATATAAAAAAATTATATCCCATTATTTGTGGTCATTAAGTTGGTGCACACTTAAAATTTTCATTTGGTTAAGAAATTAACTTTAATATAGCACTAAATATTAATTTCACAAAAAAAGTTAAAATACACATAACTGAGACCTGCAGTAAGGCACTGAGTTCACACAGCAGATGGTATGCATACACAAACCATATATAACTCCTACTGTGTCCCATCCTTTGATTCACTTGTGTATCGACATGGTGACAGTGAGATGAGTAACAGTGGATCTGGTGAGTGGTCATAAACTGTTGCATGTGTAATTGTGAGGGAAGTGCTTCTCATCACTGGCAGCATTGTCTGAGTCCATCTGCTGTTTCAGATCATGTGTGGAGTGATTTCTTATGTAATAACTGAGCAAAAAAAAACACACAAATATTAGGAAAATGTTCATAGGGTTAATATGAGCTGCTATATTAATATGCTAGCTGCTTTGAAATGGTTATGATTTGGATGGTGGTGAAGTACCACCAGTTAGCAGCTAACAGAGCCTTTGAGATGAAGTGTTCTTCTGTGCAATAGAGTGGTGCAGGTATGACATCAGAACCCAGAAGTCTAATTCGCTGCTGGTACCTTCAATATTTTTCTGTGGGGTTTTATAATTTATAAATTTTCAATTTATGAGTAAAATAAAGCCTGTGGTAAATATAACTTGACGATACTTTGATTTTTTGTTCTACAACGTACACTGCACACACTCACACCCAAAACTGTCTAATCTAGTTACTTATTAAAGGGTTAGTTCACCCAAAAATGAAAATGCTGTCATTAATTCATCTTCGCAACACAAATGGAAGATCTTTTTGATGAAATCTGAGAGCTGTCTGTCCCTCCATTGACAGCTACGCAACTAACTCTATGATGCTTCAAAAAGTTTTTAAAACTAATCCAATCGCAGATTTAATTTACGCATTTATTCACTTATAAACATCAACAAACATTAACAGAAGCTCATTCGAACCTGCTTGATGCACGAGAACAAACCTCATTGGTTCTTATAGAAGCTCAAAAGTGCTGCGTAACACGAGAATGAAACTCATTGGTTTTCGCATGTCAAGCAAACATGCTTGAGCTTCTGTTTACCACAACTGATGTGTGAGTTGAACGTTTATGTGAATACAAGCCTAAATTCAATCTATTCATCATTTAAAGCAATCGTTTCTCTTCAGAAAATTTGGACTAAACCGCTCAATTTCATAGGGATTTTACGATCTCTTTATGAACTTTTCGAAGCGTCAAAGTTTCAGTTGTGTAACGTTAGCTGTCTATCGAGGGACAGAAATCTCAGATTTCATCAAAAAGATCTTTCATTTGTGTTCCGGGTTTTGAAAGTCTTACGGGTTTGGAACAACATGAGGGTGAGTAATTAATGACAATTTAAATTTTTGGGTGAACTATCCCTTTAAAACGTACGTTTTAAAAACGGAACATAACTGCATTTTTGTTCAACCGCAATGGGTGTGTGCAGTTTATGTTGTAGAACAAAACGTCAAAGTATCGTCAAGTTATGTTTAGCAAAGGCTTTATTTTACATTATAAAACCCCAGAAGAAAATCTCGAAGGAACCAGTGGCGAATAAGACTTCCGGGTTCTGACATCATACCTGCTATAAAGCTGACATAACTGTATTAAAACCAATAAAATGCTGTAAAATACTGTTTCATACTATGTAAACATCTAGCATCAACAACAAATCAAGCATCACGTTTGACAGTCTTGATTCCAGTCCTCGGCTTCGGTTTTAAGCTTCTTTCTTGAAGACTTGAAATTGAAATTTAATACCATTTTCTTCATGAATTTCATCTGGTACTCCGGGAAAGCTAATATAAAGAAAATATACAAAGACAAATCAATGTTATATAGTGAACTACAACTGAAACGAGAAGCATAAAAAAATTATTTTCATCACTGAAAATTAAATGAACTTTAACTCAAATAAAGTAAAATATAAAAAACTTATTGTACTATCTCAATCAAACTAAAATGACAGAGACAAAAAAAAAACAAAAAAAAACAGCGGTGCTCAAATGAGGTAAGTATTATCATTGAAACACAAATAATAAATCAAGAGGATAATCCTACCCCTTTTGTTTTCTGAAAACGTTGCGGTCAAACTTCGGGAAAAACACATCACAGTCAAAGTCGGCCATGATGTTGGTGAGATAGATGCGATCACACCATGGATGCTCAAGACTTTCCTAAATAGCACAGTTACAAATATAAACTAAATTACTGTATTAATTAACATTTGCGAATGTAAACATTGCATAAATTCTCACCTTATACACTTCTGGGCCCCCTAAAACCCAGATGATCTCCACAATGTGACATAAGGGAGGCTCAGAAACCAGGCGAATTACTGACTCAAAATCCTTACACAGATAGTGGGCACGTGGAGGATCTGCACTGAAGTGATGCAAAATAATCAAACGAACTTGACGTACAGTAAAAAAAACACAGAAATCATAATAAACAGTACTTTTCAAAGGTTTGGGGTCCGTACATTTTTTGTCAAGAAGAAAAAACGCACCAAGGCTGCATTTAATTGATCAAAAATACAGTAAAAACTGTAATATTGTGAAATATTATTACAATTTAAAATAACTGTTTTTAATTATTATTTTAAAATATTTCAAAATGTAATTATTCCTGTGATCTTACCGACCCCAAACTTTTAAACAAAAGTGTATGCATAAAATTGTTTTTAAATGAATATGCTTACTTCAGCTTCCTGCTCAATACCAAATTGATGCAATTGGCCAAAGGGAAGACTGTCTCAGGACAGGAGAACCAGCAGACTCTGCCCCAGACAACCAGGTTCTTCTTCCCTGAGGTGCACCAAAATAAAATTATTTCATTTATTTATTTATAAGAATTAATATCAATTAATATAAATCAAACCAAACATTAAATTAACCTTACCAGGTGCGGACACAGCTGTAATTGTATCCAGAAAGAACTGAAATTCTTTTCTGTGAACAACATGAGCACATTAGACATATTGTGTGCCATTTGGATATATATTAATACAACTTTGTTAACTGCATAGTGTGCAAAATGCAATTTGAACTGCATGACACATATCTTTGATGTGTTTAGCTTTCAAAGAAGAAGGTCTGTGTGTCTAAATCAGAGATGAGCCAAGGTTATCCTGCATTCATTGATTAATACCAATTGGTTACAACCACAATGCTATCTGTCTGCATGATGTTCTCTTATCTGGAATGGGCGGGCGTTGGGGGGCTCAAAGTTTCCACCCCTCTAATTCAAAAACCTGCTGACAATGACATTCAGTTAGAGTTCTAATGGCATATTCCACGAATAGGACACCAAATAGGGCCTCAAAATCAATTGTTGTTATAGTCCAGAAGGTCATAGCTCTATAACTGACACTTAAGTAATAATGATATGTTTTTTTTAAATGAACTGGTTTCCATGCTAGGCTCGTTTTGTGTTCTAAAACAATTTATATAAGCTAATCCCCCTAATATATCGAATATGCTTCACAACATAGCCTACATGAAATTGTTGTGCCTCTAATGCTAAAAAAGTAAAGAGACAGCGAAGTGTAGTCTACGTCGAATGTTCGGTCAAATATTCGTCAGACGTCGCGTCGTTTATGAATTCATCTGTTTATTCAGTCATGTGATGTCTAATATAATTTACAAAATACAAGTATTCCAAATGGATAAAATTACTGATGATTTGGGTATCTCTTACGGAAGACTCCAGGGAAGCTGTCCGTTCTTTCCTATGCCCATGTCCCTGCAGGCAGCCGCGATGAGCCGGATTGGTTTGCGCATCTCCTCCCCTTCGATGTTCATCGTCATCATTTACGACTTTTACTAAGAGCAGCTTATCTGGTTTCTTTCTGTTACCAACTACTGTCGTCCATTGGACTTTGGGTGAGTTGTTTGCATCCTTCTCGACCTCAAACCATAGATTAAGGGGCTTTTAAATATCTGTTTGGTTCACCATGTGACATCCAATGGGAGTGGCTGGATAAATGGTGTTTACAGGTTAAAGAACCAGATAACCACAAAAAAAAATCTTATTAATAGGCTACTTAATTATTTGCTAATATTCGAATTCTTTCTTTTTTCCTAAAAAAAGATTATATCAACTTCACCTTTATCAACAACACAGACACAGGATCACGTGAAGACTGGAGTAATGATGCTGACAATTCAGCTTTGCCATCAGGAATAAATTATATTAAATACAGATAAATTAGTTAAAATCCCAGTAATATTTCTAAATATTATGGGTTTTTTCCCCCTCAAATATACAGCCTTGGTGAGCACAAGAGATTTCTTTTAAAAACATCTTGTCAACCCCAAACTATTGAACAGTATATTGTAAAACATATTTTTTTGGAAATCAAGGACTTTCATTTTTGGAAAGCAATGCGTCTTCCCTATATATCTTTATTTTAAAATGTAGTAATAGGGTGTAATCTAGGGAAGTAATCTGATCACATAAAATAGATTACATGTGGTCCATAACTAGCCAACACTGATAATGAATGTTAAGAAAATTAAAATCTTTCAATAATAATATTTAAATGTGAATACTGATGAACATGCTTAAAATGATCTATTAATTCCCAATCATCTCATAATAATTTCAATTTACTAACAGGTCTATCATGTTTTAATGGTGATTTATAAAGACATTACAACAATCCAAAAAAATATCATATAAAAAAATATAACAGCGAGTCTGTAAATAAGCAAGAAAAAGTTATGTACAATGTTTTGCAGACTGAACTTACAGTATACATTTATATACATAATAGGCCTGGTTTCCCAGTAATCGTCTTGAAACAAATCCACTTGTGCTTAAGAGCAAAAGGCCTCATTGATATAGTTACTCCATTACAAAAAGCAAAAATCGGACAAAATATACAGATTTTTGCTCTGGACTTTACAGACATGTTAATGTGTCTATTTATAAATTAGCCTATTTATAAATTAGAATTGAACATTTAGATCAATCAAATTCTTTGACTTGCCGAAGAGCAACTAGTTGAAACATTCTCAATTGGGCGATTGTATACATTTCCAAATAAATCCCTCTTAATATTATATAGAATGGTTTAAAACGGTTATTGCCAAAACAATCAGATATCATTGCACAAAGGGACATCAAATGGTATGTAACATACACACACTTGGAAAGAGAAACAGATGAATGACAGTAGGATTGTGTAAAGACTACAAAATATTTTCCTCCACAATTCATCAACATACAGCTGGAAAAACACGTATCTCCACGCTTGACCTCAATGCAAACTCAAGCTTTACAAGCAGAAAGACACCATGCCAAAGCATAAAGGGCAAAGCTAAGCATGGAGGAGTTGATAACGGGCATGCGGAGATGCTGTCCATCATGCCACAGGTCCCATCACTAGACTGAAGAGAGGTGCGTGTATGACCTTGCTTCCGTGGTGGCTAGTAGTAACTATATTGCCTCTGAAACTTCAATGCATGTTCTGATGCTCGGTCTTCATTATGTCGCTTCAAAGTACTCGTCCCACTTTCTGAACACACACACACACACACACACACACACACACACAAAAAACAGCATGTGAGGTTATATATTTTTTATGCCATTTTTGTTGGAGTTGCATTCAAAAGTTAGGGGTCAGTAAGATTTCTTTTTTTAAGAAGAAAGTAATACTTTTTTCAGGAAGGATGCATTCATTTGATCACAAGTAAAAGTAAAGACTTTATTTGAACACAAAGATTTTGATTTTAAATAAATACTGTTCTTTTGAACTTTACATTTATCAAAGGATCCTGAAAAAAACATCATGGTTTTCACTAAAATATTTAGCAATCAATGAGAAGAAAGGTTTCTTGAGCAGCAAATCGGCATGTTAGAATGATTTCTGAAGGATCATGTGACACTTAAGACTGGAGTAATGATGCTGAAAATTCAGATTTAACATCACAGGAATTGTCAGGGTTCTGCCCTGGCAGCTTTGTCTGTGTTGTCTTTCTTTCATGTCTCTATGTTTGTGTTGTGCTTGAACATATGGCTCTGTCTTTGTTTGTGTTGGCCATGTGCTCCTCTGTTCCTGGCTCCTTGCTTCCCTGTACCATGCCCTCTTGTCTAATTGAGTCCTTGTTTGTCTGAGTGTTGTCACCTGTTCCTCATGTTCTCTGCTCACTTGTTGAGTCCTCGTTTGCCCGAGTGTGTTCACCTGTTTCTTGTCTGAATGTGATCACCTGTCCCTCTTGTTCTCAGCTCCCTTTATGTGTTCTCTTTCCCTCATGGTTTGCCAGTTCATTGTTATTTAGGCTATGTTTATATATTATTGCGTTATCCGCTGTGTTTGACGTCAGATTTGCGCTTCTGATTGGCCAACGTGGCTTTACGGTTAAGGGTTATATCGCCGCCTGCTGGCGTGGCATGCTCTTGACCGCGCTTGATAGCGTGTTTTTGCGTTTTCATGTAGACGGAGACTGAGCATGTGTGGACGGGATTTTTTTTTTTAAACGCTGTAGGAAAAACTCCGGTTATAAAAATACCCGTGTCCGTGTGGACAAGGCCTAAGATTTCCACTCTGGAGGGTGGTTTCACTTTTTTGCGTTTAAGCCCCCAAAACGCCGTTGCCGTGTAAACGAAAGGCACATCCGATAAAATATTTTTCGTTTTCACCCGGAATCGTTCTCGTGTTAACTTGCGCTACCTGTTACTTATTGCTCATGGTTACAGTTGTGAATATTAAGCCTGGATACCTTGTCTTTGTTGTGTTCCCTGTTTTTTCCAGCCCTGCAAGCTGGCTGCTTCCTCTCTACCAAGCAGCGAGACCGGTGCGGTGACTGATTGTGCCCTGTGAGTCCATCTATTGTGTGCTGTAGTATCCTGTCTGCTCATCTACCTCAGAACACCAGTGTGTTCACCTTGGGCTGGTCTCAACTGCCACCCTCTTAGCTTGCCTGTCATTGTGCTTTGTTCCCTGCCAACTGTTTGGACTGTTATCACCTCCTCACCCACCATTTCTCGTCTTGTCGACTCAACTGTCTTTCAATAAAACCCATTAACACTCATTCTGCGCTTGAGTCCTCCCTCATAGATCCGTAACAGGAATACGTTACATTTTAAAATATATTAAAATTAGAAAAAAAGATATTTTAAATTATAAAAATATAATATTTTACAATAGTACTGTTTTAATGTATATTTTTGCATTGGTAAGCATGAGATTTCTTCAAAAACATTATAAAAAAAATCATACTGCCCCCAAAATTTTGAACAGTAGTGTAACTGTCCACAGATGAATAGCATTTATTTTGAAAAGGCTGTGCTTATATCAACATAATCCTTTACAAACATGGTAAGCCCTTCTTTTCAATGGAAGTTGTGTGTTTAAACAAGTCTGTCATTGAGAACAGAAAAGAACACAGTATATGGAGTCTTAAATTGTATGCCACGGTAAGACAAAACGGTTTGATATGAAAATCTGTTACGAGTCCTCTGAGATGGTTTGGACAGAACTCACCTCTTTGTAACTGTTTGTGAACTTGTCCAACTATATCACCACCTAAGTGACCTGGTTTAGAAAGAAAGACATGCTATTCAAGCAGCCTACTAACTGGTTCACACTTCCCATGTAAGCAGCATTTATTTATTTCAAAATCCAAGCATCTGTGTCAATACACACCTGGCTGTGGCTGCACACTGTTGACAGGCTGTTGATCACATGACACTGTAAAAGGTTGCAACTCTGGTTGAGAACTTGCTCTTGGTGGGTGCACTGGTAAATAAAGGGAAACTATTTCAACAAACGACTGAAATTATCCAAACTGCCAATAATACACATAATGAATAAAAGTGCACAATTTTACAAAAGGGTTTTCCAAAAACAGGGGTTTGTGAACCGCTGGGGTTCTTCACACATAGTTTATTTACACATTTGTATAAATTCCACATTTTTCGGGACAGAAGTTTACAAGACTTCAGAAGAATTCCGTCAAACTATTCCACCAAAATACAAGATAAGAGGAATTCAAATGTTTAAAGCTCAAAGGTTTGAATACTAGTAATGTAACTTGTAGTGTAAAAATTATAACAATGATCAAATATTAATTTTTTCATAGAACAATTGTAATATACAACAGTAACATTTGTCTTAAGTATATTAATAACAATTTGTATTATTTAATATTATTATTAGTATTCAATTTGATTGGTTTCCTGTGTTAATGTATTGTGGACTGAGACACCATCACAACTAAAAACGGGTATGAGTCCACTTGAGTCCAACTACAAAAGTCAAAATAAATTATTTATAGAACTAATTTAATTATAGAAATATAAGATGCATGACAGTGTCATACCTGTAATGTGAGTGCTCTCCTGTGAGATGTCTGCTGAGGAAGGACCTGCTCCATTACCATCTCCATTGTTGGCTGTGCTGAATGGAACAGTTGCAAGGAGGCCTGACAAGCATTACGAGAAGATCCATTAAATCCAAGATCTCACAGCTAAACAGTGGCATTTAATTTGACATATCACTCAACAAAAGGACTCTCAAGTAAAACTAAAAAGTTCAATAGTTAAACTAGATTTTTAAGAGTTTTCTTACCAAGGCCCCGGTAGCAGGACAGCTGCTGGTAAATCTGCTTCATTCGCTCGATGTTTATCCTGCTGGCCTCAGCGTGATTAACCATGGGTTTGGGGTAGTGCACTCCAATTATGCACTTAGCGATCTTCTGAACACTTTCTGGGGCATTCCAAGGTTCATAGATGAATTTGGCAGGGAAGCCCCTCAATATGGGCAAATACCGCCTGTAATAATAATAATAATAAAAAAAACCTTTAACCAAACTTGTAATTTACAGTGAACTAAATATTAGTGTGTAAACAAGGGTTAAGACTGAGTGGCACCTTATATAGTCTCCATTAGGGTCGGTACGTCGACCGAAGCTCACCGGACAGTAACAGTGAAAGAACTGCTGGAAGAATGAGCTGCATGAAAGCCACATCCAGCTTCCTGCGTTGACGCTCCAGTCAGCATCCAGCAACAACTCTTCAAACACCTTTGAAAACAAACATAATATCAATATAGATTCTAATGCAGAAAGCAACAGCAGATATTTTATTGAAATCCAGAGCACTAAGTTTCCATCCACCTATTTTTATGCAAATTTTATGATTTCACATAAAATGCATTTTTTTTTATACAATATTCCAGTTTTGTGCATAATTTTAATTTGCAACTTTAGATGGAAATAGAGCTACTGATGGCAGTACCTTCATGCCCTCTTCCCAGCTGATCCACAGGTCTCCACGCGTGAGGAAGCAAGCAACAGCGTGCCTGGCCAGATGGTGGATCCACCCCTCCTGCCTCAACTGGGTCATTATGGCATCAATCCATGGGAAACCAGTCCGGCCCTCAGCCCACTTCGCCAAGGCTTCGGGATTCCTGTCCCACGGGATCTGCACGCAGATGGGATTAAACTCCATTTTGTCGAAGTGTGGGTTGTTAGTGGCAGCCGTGTAGAAGAACTCACGCCAGAGCAGCTGACCGTAAAGGGACAGTGGTGGGACGCTGTTCTTCTTGACCTGCGAACGAAAAGCCAGGGGGAAAAAGTATGAGAATAACTTGTCAGCCACTTACGATCTTACAATCAATTATGACAATGATGAATAGTGCCTTAAATGTCAGAGCAAGAGTGTTGTACTCTTTACCTTTCTGTAGAGGTCTGTGAGTTTGAAATAGAAAAGTCTGCAGGATAGGCAGCCAAAGCGGAGGTAAGGGCTCAGGCCTGTGGGGCTGGCCAGCAAGGAATTAGAATTCATTCTGGGACGCTCAAAATTAGCCACCCAAGCCTGCAAAAAAAAAAAGAAAAGAAAAAAATCTTAGGAAGTAGTTCACATACTACAGTTCAAATGGTTGGTGTCAGTAAGATTTTATGTTTTTGAAAGAAGTCTCTTTAAAGTCCCCGTGAACCGGAAGTTGCAAACGACTTTTCTCCAGTGTTGTGACGTATTTCCGAGAGAAACGGAATACTAAATGAGGCAAAATGGTGGGCGTGGCTTTTTTCCCAACTAGCACCTGATTGGATCTAGAAAAGTAGGTGTTTTCATTCAGCCTGTCTACTGTCAGTTGGAGGGGCGTGATTACGGATGTTAAGAAGACGCCCAAACCGTGAAACCTACGTCATCAGGCAAGGTCCTCCAACGCAGAGGGGAGGGGAAATTTCAGATTTTGATTAAAGATTACGAAGCCAAAAAATTTTTTTGTGTGGATTGACTTGCATGGATGAATTGTTCACCACAAAACGATCAATTTAGGCAAACAAAGTAAGTACGGTCAATTTTGAATTCATGGGGACTTTAAATCCCGTAATATTGTGAACGTTAAAGGAGAACTCCGGTCAATTTTAACATTGAGCTCATTTTTTTGTACATTTGGAGTGCTGTCAGTACAGACAAAAACGACAAAAATCGGTGTTGCCTACACTGTGTTATCCTCTTTTTAAAATTCGCACCCTGTTAAATTCTAAACCTGCTTTTAGCCTCTTAACATCCTTAATGTGTCATTACAAGTGCACAGCCATGTGAGTGGTGTTATTAAGAGTGACCACGGTCAATCTGACTGCAGTAGATCTGAAAGATATTAATAAAAATGATGTTAATTCAGCCAGCTCACATACCTGTATTTACTTCCTGGTTTCGTTCGAAGTCCACAGTAGTCGATTGACGAGTTCGCGCGCGCGATCATTGGTAAGTAATATAACTAACGACCGCGCGCGCGAACTCGACAATCGACTACTGTCAACAGTAGTCAACAGGGTGCGAATTTTAAAAAGAGGATAACACGGTGTAGGCAACACTGATTTTTGTCGTTTTTGTCTGTACTGACAGCACTCCAAATGTACAAAAAAATTAGCTCAATGTTAAAATTGACCGGAGTTCTCCTTTAAGTAAAACTGATTTTATATATTTTATCATTTATTCCTGTCATGGCAAAGCTGAATTTTCAGCATCATTACTCCAGTCTTCAGTGTCACATGATCCTTCACAAATCTGTCTAATATGCTGATTTGGTGCTTAAGAAACATTTCTTATTATTATCAATAGTTACGTTAACATAGACACTTTTTGTTTCAATTGTTTCAAATCATTCCAACGGACGAATCCGAACGTAGTTAACATAAGTGATTGGGAATGACTCTGTGCTTCCGTGTTCGTAAATATGTCATGCGTCGGCTCAGAGTTCACTCTTCCGCAGGAACTAGACTTACCGGAAGCCAGCGATTATAGTTTATTAAAGTTATAAATATGGATATTTTGTCTGTGTTTATAACTGTAAGACAATGTAACAGAGGAGATGCTTTAACCTGACTCCGCCAGATGGATTTGCTCCGCATATCCATCTGGAAACCTTCCGTTGAAGTAGTTTTGGTAAGGGGCGAAAATACTGGTTAGCTGATTGGCCTATGTTGGTGATAGACGGGCCAAATCAACCAATCAGATCAACGAAGCATATGACGTACTAACAGAGCGTATCTTTTCCTCTGAGAAAAGCCTCCAGAGCAGTGTTTTGCTCTTCTTTCAGTGAAGAAATACTCTGTAATTCCGATAAAACTTGCTCGATAGCCACGCTGATGCTAGTTTCATCCGCTGAAGCCGACATGTTCTTTAGACTGAACTGACGCGCTTCTCGTTGCGTCACACCTCAACCCGCCTCAAAGCCAACGCTGATTGGACGTTCGTTTGGTGAACTGCTCCCAAATTTTCTTTAACGGAAAGTATCCAGACTGATCTGCGAGTGAAACCTTGAACGCTCGCGAGATCAGGATGGTCTCACGAGGCTAGAGATGCTTACCTTCCTCTCCAGGTGTCTCTCTAATCGAGTCAGAGCTTCAGTCTCTCCACCAGGCCACACAGCTGTTGACAGACCCTCTGTTTCAAAACCTGAAGCCACATATACTGATTCAAAATCTCATCTACAACAGACACATGCACACATGTGCAAAGTTAAGGAACACGGGTGTCTCACCGAGCTCCTCCAGTGAGGGTACGCAAAACTTGTCATCATGGTCTTCGCTGATGAGTGTTACGCATTTGCCCATGACTTCAGCTGTGATAGTCTCTGCTGAAATTTCCACAGGATCCATTCTGCTGATGAGTGTCTGAAATCGTTTATAGGTAAGAGGAGACTGTCCTCCGTTTAACTCTATAATCCTAGAGACAGAAAGGGAACACATGAGTCAGTGATTAGGATCTACTGTATAAGCAATATTATTGGATTTTAGTGTCGTCAAGATATCAAAATTCAAAGCAAATAAAAAGAACTTGCATGATTCTCAATACAGCAAAAGCTACTATGCTTTTGAACAGGCAGACAACATTATATATATATTAACATAAATATATAAAATTACATTAAAACATTGAGTAAACACTGTTAACAAACGATCAACTTAAAGATACAAATTAATGGTGAAGCGTGTAATTTATTTACCACAATTTTTTCAGGTAAACCGCAATATCAACTATTAATGTAAACAGAAATTCAGAAATTGAAAATATGAAAAATTACAACAAAGGTAAAATGTAATAGATAATTTAATATTAGGGGTGGGATAAAAATAAAAAAATCGATGTATCACGATTCTCTCTCCAATGATTCTGGATCGATTATGAGAATTTCAAAATTGATTCTGAGCTCAGTTTTTAACCACATGAGCGTGTTTTAGAAACACCCGTATTCTGCTTGCTTCCGATTCCTTACACACACATAAAATAATATTTCATAGAGTTCGGAAAGGTTGAAGCCAATTAATTTTTATTGTGGCTGGCAGACGATGTATATTCAGGCCGTGGTTTGTCTGTGTTCTGTGCACTTTTTGACATTCAAATGGCAGATTAATATGACTCTGCATCTGTGTGATCTGTCTACATGACATTCTCAATAAAGAGTTAAATACCAGACATGATGGGTGACAGCTTCCCACAGGACTGCTGGCAACTACGTGGGAGTCATATGGGCATATGGCAATGACTAGATACACTCACTTGTCCAGATCATAGAGTGTGTGGGAGATCCTGACGAAGACTTCCACCCCTGCCTCACTGGCCAGCTTCTTAATGGCTGCATCACGATCCTTCCCGAAGGGCTCGGAGTCGTACTCGTATGACAGCCGGCTGATTTTCCACTCCTAAGCAGAAAAAAAGAGAGGGAGAGGCGAGTCAAATAAGTTGGCACAGCATAAACACACAGAGCAAGTCATGTACTGGCTTTACAGAAAACGGTTGACTATTCTCAAGTGGTCTGTTCGTTGACCTTAAATAGTCTTGGAAAGACATCCGTGGGTTGGCCCCTGATGACAAAGAGGCGAGAGTTAAGTTTGCGAAGGCTGGCGTCCAAGTCCTCAAGACACTGCAGCAAAAACCTGTAACACAAAGAATAATGAATCAACATTTAATCTCAACAGTCAGTGATGAGCAAATAAAACAGTACTTTAGATAGACATAGTTATTCATTTTAATTTCTTGCAGCAACAAAAGAGGGATTTTTCTGACATTCTTGCAGTCAAAGCAAGAGTCCCGCAGGGGGCACTAACGAACTATCAGTATTAAAAGCACACTAGTTCCATTCTGTATTACATGGGCTGTGTTCAGAATGCCTAATATTTCTTAAAATAGAAAGTGAAAACTTAGCAGAAATAAAAGTTAGCTTATTTAACAGTTTGCTACACTAGTGTTTCTCAACCTTTTTAATTCCAAGGCCCCTCATTGTCCTAAACTTTTTTAAACCTTATCTATGGGTGCTGCTAGATTCTGTTAGGAAAGTGTTACTAAAATAATACAAATAGAAATGAGTACATTTCAGGATTCCAGTTTTAAAAAGTTGAATGTTCTTCAGGGATCCCACTCTTTTTAACCAATTATTTGCATGACATGAATTTGCAGTCATATGCGATTTGCTGAATGAGGATTAAGAATATTTTTAAGCATTTTTTATAAAAATGCCCATGGAGTTTTAAGACTTAAATCATTTACAATACTTTTGAGCCTCTTAAATGAGTCTACCTCTTTTGTACAGTTTTTCAAGGCTGTGGGGTTTTTAGTTGTTTCAGCTTACTTTAACAGTCACCGTTTTGTTGAATGACCCAGTTAAAACCACTTATACCTGGATTGAATCAATAATGAAATGAACACTAAACACATTTTAAAATAGTATGCATGATTTTCTTTTTGGCTGCACTAAATATATAATGTAATAAAGGAGTAATAAGGGTATAATCCTGTCTGAGCTAGAGTTGTGTGTGTGTTCAGCAGACTAGAGTTCCCTCTTGTGGGACTGTATATTAGTAGCATCCAGTTGAGCCTGTCTGCAACCCTTCCTAGAGACGTCTGATCCCCTACAGCACGTCCCGGCCTCCAGGTCAAGGCCATTTCAATTTATCTGCATATGCAAACACATATATTGGCTTGTGCTACATAAGCCAGCATTAACCAGAAAGTATGCTACACCAGCAAATGTTTTGTGTTTTCCAGCACAAATTTTACTAGGCATACATTAATGTTTGGGGTCAGTAAGATTTAAAAAAATAAAATAAAATAAAAATAATTCAGCAACAGCAAGGATGCATTACATTGGTCAAAAAAGACATTTAGAATGTTACAACGGATTTCTATTTCAAATAAATACTGTTCTTTTGAACTTTCTATTCATCAAAGAATCATGAAAAAAAATTATATCACAGTTTCCACAAAAATCATGTTTTCAAAATTGATTATAAGAAATGTTTTTTGGGCACCACATCAGCAAATTAATTTCTGAAGGATCATGTGACCCTGAAGACTGGAGTAATGATGCTGAAAAGTCAGCTTTGCATCACAGGGATAAATTACATTATTAAATATATTAAAATAGAAGTTATTTTAAATCATTATAATATTTCACAATATTAGTTTTTACTTTATTTTGGATCAAATAAACGCAGCATAGGTGAGCATAAGAGAAAAAAATCCTACCGACCTTAAACTTTTGATTGGTACTGTTCAATTCTGTAGAATTAAATAAAATCATTCAAATGTATACACAGTCTTGTCCTTTAAGTGTTTACTAAATATGTAAATATATATATATATATATATATATATATATATATATATATCAATACTTTATCAACAAACATTTTACCATATTTAAATCCTTTCTGAAAATATGTTGTTGTCATGACAGGGCATGCATTTCATAATTAAAACTTTTTAATTCTGCATAAATCACTTCAGATGCAGTTTCTGATCTGCATTTGCATTGTAAAGATCATGGTACAGTACAAATGAGTGTGACAACTAACTATACACGTGACCAGCCTTTGCATGGGTTATAATTTTGATCATAGTTTAGCAACTTCAAAGAGGAGTGGTGGCATAATGTAGGCGAGATACTGTTAGAAGGAGAAGGACAAGTAGGTCAGTGCTGACAGGGAAATGAGGTAATAGAATATACTGACACACTGACCTACTTCCTCACATCCTGCACCGGTGGAGAGGAGAGTTGGCTGAGTTGTACGTTACATCAGAACTCTGCTATGAGGGTATAATAAGGAATAAGGGAGATATATATATATATATATATACACAGTATATATATAATATATATATATATATATATACACACAGTATATATAAGGAATAAGGGAGAGGTGCTAGTGATTGACTATAGTATTATATATAATAATATAATTAATTATACATTAACATTTATGCCACTAAATTCTATGTGGTTCTGTGGTTTTTCACTTCACTTAAGTAGTATGTATTCCAGTTGTTGCTGGTACCCATTCCAATTTAACCAGAAACTGTATTATTTAGTACTTATTTTTAGTCACAACAAGTAACTATTCTAGTTTACTAGTGCATGGTTCAGATAATAACTGTTCACTTCAGACAAGTATGTATTCCCCTTGTTGTTGGTTGGTACCTATTCCACTATTACTAGAAATTACTCATTAGGTAATAATATGTATTACATGTATTGTATACTAGTATCCATGCCTTGTAAAAATGTATTCAAATAAGCAACAGAATTTAATAGCTAATTTTCCATTGGAGTAGTTATTTGTCTCTTGAGGGATGGTGCCTAGTACTAGCAAAGGATTAGAGACTAATTTAACAGATGCTTGTCACTTAAATTACTAGTCTCTAATGAAGGAAAGTGAAAATATACTAGTTATTATTGGATTTCTTACTAGTTATAACATAACATGTACCTACTACGCAGTATGCACATGAGTATAGACTACTTGGCTTATCATACGTGCTGATGTTTGATCCCCTCTGTCCTCTGTCTGATCCAAATGAAACTCACCTCCATCTGCTGATTCCCACGTTGGACGATCCTGCAAACCAGGGGTCCAGTATATAAACACATCTCAGAGTATCAGCTCCTATTACAGAGTCCAGCAGAGATGGGTTATCATGGAGCCTTAAGCCCTTTCTGAACCAGTGGATCGTATTGACAACCATTACTCCAAATGAACTGCAGTCCCTTGTGAGTTTACGAATGATCCAGCTACTCCCAAACTAGGCAACACCAGACTTCTCAATTCAAGGTTAAAAAAAAGTAGATACGGTGACGTCTTCTTCAGCCTTGCTCAAGGAAAACTTTTCCCATGTTGAAGCTGGATCTCTGCGCCCGAGTACTTGGATGAATGACGCAGCGAAACTTCATATAACGTGTCGTTAGTTGCTTTACACACGCTGTGATTGATACGATGCGCGTGCCTGACTATGTTCAGAATATACACCGTGACAGTCAACACTACTGTAAAATGACGGAATGATATATCTTTAAAAAAAAACACTCATAGGAAAACCTTAACAAAGCAAGCACGCGAACGTCAACATGGACACGAAAACACAGAAAAAACAGCCGTTTAACTAATTTTTCCTAAAACATTAAACAAATGTTATATAAGATTATATCCATGTAAGCGTACGTTCTATTCATATAACTATATGAGCGTCGTCGACTAGACACGAATATACACGATTGTTGTCCTTTAGTTCACCCGAGTTCACCCCGTGAAACGTCAGCCATTCGTCGACTCCACCCACTCATTGACGCAAACTGGCTCCTACGCAGCTGGTTGGTCAGATCCGCCCGCACACGTATTAGAACATCACGTTTCTGCGGTGTGCTCGCGCGAACGGCGCGAATCCGCACTTTTCTTTCACTGTCAGATAAGATTAGTTCTGTCAAGTCAGTGGCGTGTTCTCGATTAACTTTGACCACGATACACAATGACCACTTAAAATAATAGTGCATTAAGATAAATACATAAGAAAAGCTTGTTGTGACCATGTACTGCTCGATTCTGATTGGACAAAGTGTGAGTACCCGGATAGGCACATGAACAGAGGTACTGGGGAACAGATGGGTTTTATTATCAGAAATATTTCTGCACTAGTGGTTGGACGTAATTCACTTCAAGTGTATAAAATATAATGGCCACAATTTTTAAGGTAAACTAGCAATATAATAATTGTATAATTTAGTGGTGACTGGGGCTAGTTGACTGTGGCTAGATTTTGAGTCAAAAGTCCAATAACTCATATCTGTTTTTCTAGCAGTAATTTCAAACACCTTGTGCAAAACCCTTAAATCAAATGACAATATTGTCATATTTTTGTTGTAGATATGGGTAAACAACAAGTGAATACAATAAAACCACACTGGCATACATTGAGGCAACAACTACTTATTGTGAAAGCAGGACTAGTGTCAGTCATAAATGCCTGGTCAGGGTCAGTTGTAATGTTTTAAAAGTTGTGTTTTACAATTGTTTGTACTGTCTAAAGTTTGCTGCAAAGACTAATAGTCTGGCAGGTTCCTTTGTGTCTAACTAACCCCATAGAATGTAACTCATATGCCCTATTATTGGGCCATGTTGTCATAAAAGGTCGACATACAGTGTATCTTTTTCCTGTGCAACAACAGTGGAAATGTTTGATCACTTTGTTGTAGCTTAATATGTTGCAAAGAATTATCGTGTTTCAATCTGCTATTACTTTTCTTAACATCAGCAAAGCGCATTTGGTACAAATCTTGTATTTGGAGGCAATGAATGGCCTGGTTGAAAGATCTTTATATTGATCAGTGTGGGGAGAAAAAAACATTGCAATTCACAGTGGGAACTACTACATTGATCCAAGACATAATTAGTTTATTGATTAGGTTTGCACTTGCCTTTAGATACTGAGAACATTAACATACAATAAAATAAATGAGGCAGTTCATCTTTAAAAGTTCAAGCCTTTCTGCTATTACTGCTGATTTAAAATTACTGATTTTCATTTTAGTTGTTAATGCTGGCATTTAGACAGACCTAAATGTCAACCAGCTATATATAACATATATCTTTCATCCCTTATAAAACTATTGACATATTTCAAGTGAATGAGTTTAATTGTAATGCCACTGACACATGTCTGAGCTCAGTTTGTTAAGTGAATAAGACATGATGGTTTGGTTGAAGTTTTGTTGAACACTAGGTGGCAGTCTATCATAACAATATGCTAAATTCAAGTGCATATCTCAAGTGAAAGTTCATTAATCTGATACTCGTTAATTATCACATACAAATTAATTATCAGATTAAAAATAGAATTGTAATGAAACTATGAGGTTCAGTGTATTTGTTACTCTTGGCAAAACAGCTTTCAAACTGTTGTATCCCTTTTAGTCTCAGGTTTCTGAAGGGGTGTTGTCCGAAGAGGTCAGTGTTGAGTAAAATATGGTCCCCTCTTTATCAAAGCCAGGTTGAAAATACTTAAACGGTGAAGTGTATTTCAAGTCGAAAAGTGTTATGCATGCTTTCTTATGATACAGTTACTGATTCATGCTGTAATCTTCAGTCTTTACCATAAAAGTCTTGATGTCATTTTTTAACTAATTTTAATGTGTTTTTCTTGGTGCCAAATAGTTACTGCATTCGTCAAAGCTATTAGGAAAATAAGGAGTGCTTGATGCGCAAATTCTATCTTTAGTTTTACATTGAAAACATATGACCTTTACAGACTCTGGGAGTGAAGTTTACAAGCACCCTCCATTCAAGATGACTAATATATTATGCATTCTCTTTATTATTAATGAACAGGAATCTCGTTACTCTGAAAGGGAGAATGGGGAAGAGGACAGGTGTTCATTTGATCCCTTGCTTTTTTCCCTTTAAACATGCTGCCCTGCTTGGTCTACTGGATCGGAGCAGTTTCATGCATGCTGACTACTAGTTGTATAAAGTCTATCTATTTGTTTTGGCCACTTAAGACCACTATATCTAAAGCTCTGTTTCCACTCCAGAGACCAAGTACAGTTGATTTACTGATGTACAGTTTTTCTCAGTCGCTTTGGTTCATTTCTCGGATCAGAATTGAAATTCTCAAAACTACCTGTTCAATCTTCACATCATTGTGTCACTTGTGCACATCAAAAAAACAGTTTCTCATTTCTTTGAACACGTTGCATATGCTTTGGTACATCAATTGCTTATGTCATGTTGATCAAAATGTATTATAATGGGTCTCTGTTGAATAGTCTCACCCCCCACAACATTTAGGCATTAGTTCATAGCATAAGTCTTTACATGCAAAATGGTTGAACAAGTTGTCATAATATGCATGCAGTGTTCCCTAAGGAGATTGTCCACATGTTCACATTTCTACTTTTGTTTTTTTTTGTTTTTTGTCTTTGCAATACAGAAAGGAAAGAAAGCACTGCAGCACAATGACATGGTCTGTCAACAAATTAGAGTACAAACAGTAAAAGCGTAAATGTGAATCTTGTCCAGTCTCTTGCAATCAATCTCCCTCATACACTAAGGTGTAACCTACAAATACAAATATAAATACAATAATTGTCATCAAAACTTTATCCATACTTTACATCAGAACATCCCTCCAGAGTACACTGTTATATTGACAACATGACTAAGCAATTTGACTGTCTTATCCGTACACAATGACACAAGGATTTGTCATTGATGGCACTGACATGTTCATTGACACAGATATTTACTTTTGAGAGATGACCTAGGATTTTGAGTAAGAGACTGGCTTTTGCAGGTAATCCATGGTGTTTTGCTATTTGTACGAATTGTTTTGAGAAATGCACTTACTGTTTTGCCAATTTCGAGGACGATTTGAGAAATGTACCAAAGCGATTGAGAAAAACTGTAAATGAAATGCTTTGTCTGATCAGAGTCAAAATAGTTTTAAACGATATAGTTAAAGAGAATTGAAAGTTCTGGAAAAAGTGGATATTAATGAACAAGTCAATAGTAAATGTAGTTAATTGCCACTTTACATTTTAAAGGAAAAATCTATCTATCTATCTATCTATCTGTCTATCTGTCTGTCTTATCTGCAATGATATTTATATCACAACACAGGGAAATTCCTCAGAAATGATAATACTTTATGCAAGTGGGTATCAAAATGGCAGTTTCATTCTTATACTGTCTGACATCTCTCCATATTTTTAGAGAGGATCTCCAGATCAACAGAAGAACATCATGCAGTACCGTGCACATTCAAAAGCTACTGTACGCACCAATGGTCCCTTCAGCGTATTGGATGCAGTACTGTATGTGGCTCCTCCTCCAACTGACGCTTCACAGCCTTCAAACACACTGGTGTGTGCCATAATAACGCCACTGCTCCTTCAAAGTTGGGGGCGCATTTTCAACAGTGAACGCAACAATTTGAAAACTCCTCTGTGCCTTTCCAATAACAGTGGACAGAATAAAGCCGTCAAGCAGTGGCGTTTGTTTACAAAGGAACGTTTCCTTTTGCTTTCAACCTTGTGGACAATATGAAGTGCAGTTATGGCAACAAGGGGTAAATCCGTGAGGACCCTGGAGGATTTGACGCTGGATTCGGGTTACGGTGGAGCCGCGGACTCCTTCAGGTCATCCAGCTTGTCTCTGTGCTGCTCCGAGGCGCACATATCCTATGCGCATGGAGGGCACTGCTGGCATCTGACCGACTCCATGCGCAGTCGACACAACAGCCTAGACACCGTCAACACCGTCCTGGCCGAAGACGGCGAGACCCTGGAGTGTTCCGGACACTGTGCGAAACTTCCCGAGCTTGAGGATGTGCCCTGGAGCCTCGGGGAGGTGGAGAACGCGCTCAACAAGGAGGAAGAGTTGAGATTCGGGACCGTGTCCGCGGATCTGCTGGCGCGCCTCTCCGCTCTCGTGAGCCGCGCGTTGGTGAGGATCGCCAGGGAAGCGCAGCGGCTGAGTTTGCGCTACGGCAAGTGTACCAAATACGAAGTCCAAAGTGCCATCAAGATGATACTGTCATGGACCATCTCGGTCAATTGCATCGCCTCATCGCTCAGCGCGCTGTCCATGTACAACATGAGTACCGAGGATAAATTCAGCCGGGGGAAATCGGAGAGATGCGGCTTGGTCTTCTCCGTGGGGAAGTTCTTCAGGTGGATGGTGGACGGCAGGGTTGCGGTGCGCGTCCACGAGCATGCGGCTATATACCTGACCGCCTGTATGGAGAGCCTCTTCCGAGAAGTCTTCACCCGGGTGTTGAATAGTTCGGTGGTGGAGAAGGATAACGGAATCCCCAAATTTACATTGGAATCCTTTGAGCAGGCTCTGAGCAATGATGCGGAGTTGTACGGCCTCC